TTTATAATTATGTAATTTATATTTATTGTGAATTATTATTAGTTGGTATTAGCAATAACTATTATATAATATAATAGAAAAATACATGATTACAGTTAATAGGATGTGTTAGTGTGAGAAGTAAAAAAATATTAATGATAAATTTTGTAACTGAAAATAGAGGGAAAAATTTAGAGGTTTCATTAAATAGGTATAATTAAATTTTAAAAAAACAATTGTTTATAAGATTCTAAAGTTGTTTAACTATGTTATTAAAACAATTTACTAATTATTTTTAAAGATTTTTTTTTATGAGATACAAAAGAAAAAGATAATATTAATGTTAAAATACATAACTTGAAACAATTGTTTATAATTATGTAATTTGTAATTATTATGAATTATTATTAGTTGGTATTAACATAATTATTATATAATATAATAGAAACTTACATGATTAAACTCATTAACATGTATTAATGTGAGAAATATTAATGACAAATTTTGTAACCGAAAATGTAGGGAAAATTTTAGAGGTTTTATTAAATGTTTTATTAAATGCTATTAGCCAGCAATTATATATATATAGATTGTATTATTTATCGACATACTCTAACTGATTTTTTAACATATAATTAATATAATATTTTAACTAATTATTTATTTATGTAATAGGAATTATCGCTTTAACAAACTTGCCAAAATTTTAAAATTAGATGGTATTATTTTTGAGGGGTGGCGGTTGTTCAAATGGTGGGAGCTGGAGGAATTAGGAAATGAATTTTGTAATGTTTTTGCTATAAGTCAGTTTTATGGTTTGTGGTGTTTATTGGTGCGTGCAGTTATCGCTTTTTGTTGTTTTGTTTGTGTTAATGGTGTTCTTCAGAATCTAACAAATCGATATGTTTACAGATATCTGATGGGATGATATAATTGACATTTTTCTTCTCAATTTCAAATGCTACGTTGTCTAGTTTGTTACTTTAATTATATCGAATTCTATTTTAGAATAATTTAAAATTACTTTAATTTGATTGAATTGATTTTATAATAATTAAATATATGATGAGAATAGGATTTTTGAATAATTGTTTGATAAGAAAAGTTAAATAAGAACGAGAAAAAGATGATATAGAATAATATTTGGATTTCTCTTCTAATTTGATTAACAATTTGACTATTGAGTGATTGGTATGAAGTAGACATTGAATTGGGATATGAAAGTGCTTAAAAAAAATGGATGATTTTGATTTGTAAAGAAAATAAAAAATTGTTGTACTTTAAAGTTTGAATTTTTTCCATTATTATTTTTTTTACTTTGACAATCATAAATTGGATAATTGATAAAAAAATCAAAATTGCAAGGTATAATAATATTGTTTAAATAAAAAGTGGAACGAGAAGTGTTTAATAATATATGTTTTTCATTGTTTTTATGAGATGAGATAGTGTTTTCTATAGGTCCAATTTCAACTAATTATAGTAAATTTTGTTACATATTAGACACACATTTAATTTGTAAGGACACCATCTTACAATAATATATGATATTTCACATTTTGTATTTCTTTTATTGTCATAA